AAGTCACTTGCGCTGCTGTTGAAGCATGTGAATTTTCTCTCCCCATCCCATTCTTGGCTCGAAGAAGTTTTAGGCCCGAAGGCCTGATTTGGGCTAGCGCCCAGACTAGTGATCGAGATCCAATGAAGGTAACTGAGATGTCTCCAAAGTCGATGCATGTGTTCGGCACACTGTGGAAGTGTGGCCTGCGAAGTCGAGCCTGGGAACAGCACTCACCGTTAGGCCCTTATTATAGGCTGGAAGAGGAGCAGTTCCGTTTTACCATGGAGCCAATGATTGCAGCTTACAGGATACCAACCTAAAACCCATCATTCCCGATTGTCAGCTGAACTGGGGCTACAATTTGTGATCTTTCTAGTCGAGAATCGGGTTGTGGCTGGATGTTGTTAACGAATAATCTGACGTGTTCGTTCCAGTTTTCTTTGTCTTCTTATTAACATCCTGTAGTCTGCTGTATTTTTCTGACTTGCCTATTTTCCTCTACATTTTCGTAGGAACTTACCCAACAGCCGTGATAATTCTAGAACATGTTCTTTTACGGGACTTTCGATTACTAAACGGCTTTTATTAAAATGACAATTACTCACTAAACTATCCATCTCGCGGTTAATCGTTTTTTTGTAAAGTTCCAGTTGTGCAGAATGTTAGATACTTACTGTAGGAAAAATGTGTATTCATCTCTACTGAGAAATTTTCGCGAGTTACGCACCCTTAGAGAAACGTTGTACTCTGTCGTGTCCACTAGGCCTCGTTTGATAAGAATCAAGACCGAAGTCCGTCTCTTTAGGATTCCTTTCATCCTTCATCCAACTGTTCTCTTTTCGTCTTCCCAAAGCTTTCTGGATTGCAATTCTCGCACTGTGCTGACGACTTCTGTGGCCTTTACATTTTCAGCCATGACGTAGTTGCCATGCAAAAAAATGTATTTTATTTTTTCTAGCACTTTCAAATAAAACCATTCTGCAGAAAGTGGGCTTCGAACCTTAAAGTTTAACCTGTCTCAGATAGAATGCACTCTCCCTCTGCAGGGCTCCTCCTCTCTGATATACCTGCGCCCTGTCCGTTTTAGTCAGGCTGTTGGAATCTGCTTCCCTGGACAAAATATATTGCCTTCTTTTCGCTTTGTGGTCATATAAGAGTTAGCCGAGCCCTTCTTTCCACACCTTGGCGTTTTGTGAGACAGGACCTTACTTTATTCCCCCCGGCGTCTTCTCAGACCTCGGCCGTAGGCGTGACGTTTCCTCTTCGTCTAACTGTGAGGCTAACAACATATTTGGCCGGTAGCCAACTCTTTCCCTCTCCTGCTTCTTCTTGATAAGCAAAAGAACTGCACACAGATTTGAAACACGCCGGCTGACCGTCCGGAAAAAAAAACACGAGGTGGGATCCAACGGTGCAGACGTAAATACTGCCAGTACAAGTACAAATACTGCAGGATGGGAGTCAGTGTTTTGTAAAATTTGCGAAACAGAATAGAAGTCCATATTTACAGTCCTCCATTAGCATAGCAAGATTTCTGGTGGGCTCGATCGCCTTGCTATCACTGATTTCAGTCAAGAATTGTTGAAACGGCAAGTTTTACACTGGTAACTCATCTTGTCCTCTCTAGTCTTTTCCACTTTGGCATTTGGTTTCGTCACCGAATCTTAAATGGATTGGCTTGTGGATTAGTAGACTGATTAAGGTCGACGGAGTTGAACGGAGGCAAGATTCCGAACAGTCGATCCGCATGTCCATTATCGTGTGTTTATTGCCCAAGCGGTCGAACATCGATTCAAGTTGAAAAAGACCGTTAATGGTACAAAAAAGGCTCTCAGACTATCAAAATTAAATGAAAAAGTAAATTAACAACTTTTTTCTTTGACCAAATTTTTCAAAACCTGGCCGCTATGGTGGGATTCGAGCACACAACAGCAAGAGGGATAGTTGAGTATAACCGACGTTCTATACATCTGAGCTACGAGACCCCACTGGGAGCCGTGGGCTCAGTAACACTTGGTTCAAGTTGTCGCTACAGCCTACTGCAACCCATGGAACCCACAAATCCTGACAAATCAGGATTTCCTAAGCTGTCTCTCAAGAGCGTTGGCTGTACTGAAGTCTTCCACTTGCTCTCGTGGGTTTGAATTCCACCGAGGCCGCCAAGTTTTCACAATCAGATCAAAAATAGTTCAAGTCTCTCAATCC